AAGCCTCGAGTGTTTACTAGATATGCTGTATTCCAGTATATAAGACCGCCAAGAAGTGACGGCAACAATGTAATGCAGTTGAATTCCAGACAGAGATAGAGACGGACAGTTGGGTCGAGCGCGTGAGTCGTTCGTTGTGAAATATAGCGTTTGTTTAAGTTATAGAGTGACTGTGGAAATTAAGTGAATTTCAAAGTTGTATATAAAGAATAAACTAGTTTTATTTAAGAAAGGACTTGTGTCGCTAAAGTTTCATCGGAAAGAAATTATACGGGAAATTAACTAACGACCAGAGACGTAACAATATGCTTTTTCAATGTCAAAATTTGTGAAAGGGTAGAGTTCAGGAAAAACACTTTTATTCGCAATTCAACAACATTTGCTGATTTGATAAAATGTATGAAGCTATCTGTAGGCTAAGTTATTAAAATGTTCAACGGGAAATAAAAAACAACAACTACTTTGACTTTTATACCTGTCTCCCTAGGATGCAACATATAATTTTTTTCCACTAACAAAAACTGACATTGGGAATAAGAGTATAAAGATATAACTTTATTTAAAATGGCGCTGACGAACGTGCACCGCCTGATAAATCAAAACTTTGTTAAAATATTTAGAGGTATAAAATTTTGTTTTTCGCACGAAAGCCGAAGTTTAAAGATAGGTGATACGGAACAGTTAAGTAGAGTTTTTACTAGGAAAGATGTTGAAATGTTTGCTCATCTAAGTGGTGATACAAATCCAGTTCATTTAGACGATTGCTGGGCTGAGAAAAGCAGACTGGGCAAACGTGTTGTGCATGGCGCGTTGTTAAACGGGTGAGACTCAGATCTGTATGAGATTATAATTTATATTATTTTTTGATTTTTATGCTCAATGTGTTTAAAGTTTATCTCGACCATCAGTGTTAACTAACAGTAACAGAGGCCGAATCATGACAGTTTCTTGAAATGAAGTCGGGAAAGTTGTAACTATCTAAGGGAGGTTTGGTATTTTAAATTGCATGTTTTATTTTGCAAACTTTAAAGAAATATACGTACAAAACATTTAAATCTGATTTAATAAGGTGAAGTACACAAATCACAATTAAAAAGGATTGTATACAAATAAGTTTTGTATCATATTAAACTGGTATAAAAGAGAAAATTAGTTTTTCTTATCTGTTAAATTTGGAATGCTGATGTATATTAAATCTCGAAAAGGTTTTATAATTTAGTTTTTATACCCAGTGTTAATTTAGATGGTCATCCCAACTGTAATGTAAGGGACACTAGGCATGAATAATAAAATACTAATACTTCTCCACAGTTTTCTCTGCCATATCAGATCTTTCACTTACATGTGATACTAAAGTGTAGTAAATGTAATGATAAAATTCAGTAGAAAGTCAGATATTTTTCGATAAGTTTTGTGTTCTGTCTGCTTCTGCCTTTCTAAACTTCACGGGCTGGTTTGATCTTGAACACCTTTCACTGTGTTTAACATAGCATAATATTTTGGGACAACATGGGACCTATTGGTCCATCTCGGCTGTTCCATCCTTAAAACTAAATTAAAATGATTAAAAATAATAATAATAAAAGTTTAAACCCAGCCCTTTTCATTCATTTACTTA